AGAATGTTTAATGGAAGTGTTTGAATGATTTCTAGAATAATAATAATAATAATAATGACTAATTTTTCACTCACTTACAAAAATTATATTTTATTTGATAATCTCAAATGAGTCTTGTTGGTGTTATGCATGATCTGTGAAAAGAAACAAGTTGGCAGAAAAATCATTCAGAGAAGATAGGCCTTCAGGTCAACACTGAGAAGAGAAGTAATGAAGATTCCTGGACAACACCAACAGCAACAACAACAACAGACAACAATCAGCCAGAATAAATGGGAGGAACCTGAAAGAAACAACCTCCTTCACCTACCGACATGGGAAGCATCGTTTCAACTACAGGCAGACGGAACTGACGAGGATATCAAAGCCAGAATCGGAAAACCAAGACAAGCTTTCATTACTCTCAAGTCTGTGTGGAGGTCAACAACACTCAGAATCAAAATTAAGATCCGGATTTTCAACTCCAGTGTGAAGTCAGTGCTACCTACCATACGGATCAGAGACTTGGCCAGCGCGTCAAGAAGAGCATCTCAAACAAACTTCAGACCTTCATTAACAGTTGTCTTCGCTCAATACCACTCAAGATCAGATGACTGGCCAGAAAAGATCAGCAACAGGCATCTCTGACAATGAGCGAACCAGCTGAGCAGGAACCGATTGTGAAACAAATAGGCAGGAAGAAATGGAGATGGATTAACTGGCCATACGCTGAGGAAACCATCAAGTGACATCACTAGACAAGCCATAGCTCGAGTGGAACTCGAAAGGGAAGCGGCGAGTTGGTTGTCAGTGCAAGGGTGACTTGGAGGAGGTTATGTGAAGGGGAGATGAAAGCATGTGGACAGATTTGAAGCGGGATGAAAACTTTGGTAGAAAACAGAAGGCAATGGAGACGCTCTGCTGAAGCCCGATGTTCCTCTAGGAACTAAAGGAAATAATAAGAATAGTGATTTGCTTAGTGTAAAGCCAAACTAGTCACTAGTACACTAAGATATAAACGCATTGTGTTTTTACTGAAGAAGACTTAGTGTTTCATAAAAACATTATACTTTCCATGGAATAAAAGAAACACACATTCAAAAGTTATCTTCAATAATCATGTTTTTTTTTGTTTGTAGGGGGGGTTCATATTTCTCAAAGCAGTATGACAAAGCAGAGATAGAAATCAAAATTAAACACCTTCATATACAAATATTGGCTAACTGAATAACACTGGAGCAATATAAATGTTTGATTTGTTCATAAAATTGGAGAAAGAAGGCATAAAGGTAGGTAAAATGAACTATTTCACCCCTAATAGTATTTCACCTGAGAATAAATGTCAATTTTTACCCACTGATTCTCTTCTTTCCATATAATTTCAACCATATCTTTTCCGAGTTCTGTTAGGGACTCTACATAAACTATGTGTATTAAATCATCCCGGGGAGCGTGTTTTCAAAACCCCGATGAATATGAAAAGTTGTACATCGTCAAAAACAAAACAAAAGATAATGATTTACATTCGTGTTTCAGACAGAACGTAAAGGAAAAAGCTGTTGTGGATGATGAGTGAGGTTATTTTACTTCATCAGTAAAAACGTTCTTTAAGTTTTCCTTTGGCAGATTTGATTGGTTTCAGTTTTGATTATGAAACGACTTCAGTCAGGGAACCGCTGAGAGCCAAGAAGTACTGGACAGCTTTGTCGTCCTTGTTGTACGCGACTCTTTAGTACAGCGTACTCGTGATCACACCAGGGACTGGACTGGTTTACGTCATGGTGACCGGAGTGTACATGAGTTTACCTCATAACCTGAGTACCCTAGCCTCGACACCTGGTGGGATCATGAGTGGGTACTGATGAAGAGTCACAAACAATATGGACGGAACGGCTGTCCAGGCCCCTGTCGTATAGGGTCGGTCAAATTTTGTAATCAAAATTAAAAACGTTTTTGTTGATAAAGCTTTCTGGGTTAGTCATAGACACGTATTGTTTTTGAGATAATGGGTAGCATAAAAGTTAAATGAAAACTTGAATCGCGATGTACTGAAACTAAAGGCCTCGGGATTATCATTCCAATATTTTTCAGCTATGTTACGAGACCCAAATTCCATGTTAGTCATCATTTTGCTGCTATCGTCAGCGGTTACGCCAAGCTGTCATGTAAGTGACTGATACTGAAAGGTCAGCTTAAGAACACCCCACTGTCTACCCATTTCTGCTAATTTTAATCATTCACTGTTTGTTGTATATCACTATAGAAGCTAAGATTGACTGACGATTACTAATCGGTTTGTAACTTCTGTTTTCTCAAAACAAACAAAGCATTTTTGGAACAGTGTGAAAGAAAGGTAGACGATATCTGCATACTGATAATGATCTACACTCATGAATGTCATCATAAAGCTCCCTGTCAAAACATTTATATGTATCTGAGTAAACGATAACAATCTGTTGTTAATTCAGTATTACCTCATATGTTGATATGGTATACTTTTCAATAGATGAATTCCCGCCAGCCACTCAGGTGGCCCAGATTCGACTCCCATGTGGCACGTTCCAAAACTTCTTTTAATTCACTAGCTGATAGTAAGCCCAGAAAAAAGTGGAGGTTGGGTGTGAAGTCAGCAACCCGTAAAAACAACAATACTGCTACTGAAAATTCAAAAGCCTTAAGTCCTATATTTCGTTTGGAACTCAAGGAGTGAAAGAAATGTATTCATATATAAATATATATATATATATTTATATATATATATTTATATTCAAAACACTAGAACAATCTGTTCATTGACATTGAACACAGTAATAATTAAAAGTGACATATGACAAAGCTAATTTCATCATATTTCAAACTTTCCATGTTAATATCCTTTCATTTAAGTTATTGTCTTTACTAGAAGTCATAAAAAGTACACTTTGTTTCACTTACCCTGGATTTGTGTAACTGACACTGGTCATTGTATTTTTAATGGTGTTGACTTCTGGTGTTTCTACCGCTAAATACATCTGAAAAAAGACGGGAGAAAATGAATTCAACCCTATAAACTCAAAGCAAAACAGCTAAGTTTTTTTTTACCTGTTTAGATCTTAACTCAGAAAAATGTCCGTCGATTTTCAATAAAATATGTATCTTAATATATGGTAAAAGTGTATATTACTTTTCCTACTTCTAATATCAGTCTGTGCGTCCGTGGCACAGCTGTAGGATTCTCACCAACCACAGCTGTGACCAGGGTTTCGACCCCTAGCCGACGCACTCGCCAAGTCAGTCATAAGACTAGTAGAGAGTGAAGGTTGAGCATTAGGCTAGCAACGCTATCCCGCAAAATAAAGGCCACTGCTACCGGAACTCCAAGCCGCTAGCTTGAAGCCCGACGTTCCAATGGGAATGTAATGGAATTTAAAAAAAAATAATAGTTCGTATGCAGTCATTATACACTGAGTCTACAAAGCTACGATATACATGATGTAAAAATATTACCTAATGTGTTTATCTATCTTAACTTAGTTCATTTTACTTCAATATATGAAGTGATTAAATTTTCATAAATATGTCAAGCATTAGCTGGTTGTCATAGCATTATGAACCTCATTATATAATTAAGCAGAGCATTGAAGTCAAAATGATTTAAGTATCTTACTCATCTTCTCTGAACAAAGTTTCAGTGGAATTCTTTGCGCATTCTTAAGAAACACATAAGCAATCCTACAATCAACGGAAACTGATTTATAATGAAAGGTGAGGATCCGAGTTCAAAATCTTTCAATTTTTAAAGTACTCTTACATTGCACTGCTTTTCACTGCATCAACAGATTTTGATACTGTAGACCGATATATCTGTCCAGTAGAGTAAGCTGGTAGGAAGTGTGAACGAAAATGATCCAGGTCTATTTCTACTTTTGTATATCACTAATTTTCTGTATACTGGTAGATATTTGAGTATAGAAATTATTGCCAATCAAACGGTATATCAGGGTTAGTAATTGTTACACTACAGGGTAGAAATTAGACACTGACAGAATAGAATACTATACCAGTTAAGTTTATTTGATCTAAAATGCAACGATACAGTATTATTAGCTGGATAATATAGGAATGACTGTATGTTCAAGACATAATGAAGACGCATGGATTGATACTTACTTTTATGAGTTATTCCACAAAAACTGACCTCAGTTTGTCTTATATTAACTCACTTCAAGATTCACCACTTTTATCAATAAATAACACACACACACACACACGCAAGTAGCGATAGACACAAATCCTACACAAATAAACCTAGAAAATAGTTTTAAGATGATTGTTTTAAATCATCTTTTTTTGTCTTCGTTTTCCACGTCTTCTTCTTCTTCTTCTTCTTCACTTTAAATATATATGAGATGGGAAGGGAAAGAGAATTTTTACAAGGGATAGAAAATTTTTCTCAAGATTTGGTCAGTCATTTAGTCAAATAAGTAAGCAAGACAGTGAACAAACAAACAAACAACTTAGACAGTGAATATGGATAGGTTGATTTCTATTAGTCAGTCAAAGAATCATTCCAGCCCTGGGCTCAAAATAACAATGATGATTATCATGACGATGATGAACAGGCTAGTAAAGACAGACTAAGTATGAAGTAGGGAACCTAAGAACACACAGCATCATTATGATTAGATAATAAACGGAATATATGCACACATTCGTATACATATATTTATATATATACTCAGTTTAAGAAAGAAGAACAAGATAAATAATGTGACAAATGTCTGAGATTATAAGACTACAATGTCAACTGCATATCAGTTAAAAATGTGCATTTGAATACCAAATTCCCTTAACTGATTTATAAACGGAATTGATTTGAGTTACTTCATGAAAAATATAATTCCATTTCAAATAATGCATTCACGAACACTTAACTCACTCCACTATCAATGATGTAATTCAATATAATGTACAAACAGAATTCTATCGTTTTTAATAACAAAGTTTAACCGGTTCTACGTGAATTACTTGTATATTTACAGATGCGGAATGTATTTTATACATATGGAACCATATGGCTGTGTTTAGAATTATTAGCTTTATCTATTTATTGTACAGAATCTTTTAAAGATACTGATGACACTGAAGATGAGCCAGGTAAGACTGTAATGCAGTATTCTTTTACACTTTTCTTCAGGTATGTGATGTCCATTGATTTCTCCTATTGTATGCTGTCAGAAGTTACTTCACACAGCTTAGAGTAGATACATATTTCCTATATCGATTTTGAATTAAGATGAAATACTTACTAGTAAAGCGAAATATCTTTGGTGCATTGTGTTATTAGCCAGTAGTGTAAGTCGAAGTGCTGTGAAAGAAGAATATTTGGCAAGAGGTAATGTATAAATAGGTTATTCTCAAATATGATTCCTTAAATCTTTTAAAACGTGTTCACTTCAACTTAATATATCTCAGTAATTCACTCAACTTCAAAATTCAACTAGGTATAATTTAAAATCACCATGAATATATCTTAATTGTCTAACTTAGTAAAGCAACTTCGAAAAATCTGAAAACCTGTAGTTTTAGATTCTTCATTAGAATAATGGTAAATGTTTTCACAATATGTAAATAAGGCATCTATGTAGGGCACTTATATTATCTATGTGAGGAATAATGTTTTGATAAGGTAAAATGAATTGGTTCAGATAGCATCTAAATCTAAAATCAAGAATGAATTTTCCTGCAACCACATTCATGTGCTACTCTCCTCCTCTTCTTTCAGTGATTAGTTTTCTCAGTAAGAGAAGACGAAACCATATCATTAGTCTAAAAGCCGAGTATTCACTGCATTTGGTTTCAACTACACACCAACACAATACACCTTAAAATTTTAAGCTAAAGAAATTGAATTCCTCAGATTATTTAGATATGACTGTGTATTTGAGATTATATCAGTAAGAACGTCTTGAGTAACTTTAGTAATAGGGTTACCTAATTTTATCTATATAACAGTTGTTTAGTGAGGTAAACCTACTCAAAAATGAGAAAATATCAACATCTGAGTTGTTCAGTTTATCAAAGCATTTTAGTTTTATTATTCTCTTAGCATACGGTGCTTATTGCGGTACTCGTGTCATGTCTTCATAACTGTTCTACATAATGGTTTATTTCAGTCAAACCAAACTACGCCAATGAAGTATAGTATTGAGACAAATTAAAAATAAAAACTGTCTATCATAGCTGAATGATGTGAGTGCTGTTTTACTTCTGCAGTGATTAAGCAGATAAGTTAACTATGATTTCCACGAAAGACAGTGACAGCTTAAAGTATCTGACGTTAAATTAATATGTTTTAGTGAGAAGATAAACTCGAAATGAATTTATAGTGCGATAGGGACCTTCGTTGTTATCCAAAATATATTAGAACTTGACTGAGCTTCATTTTTACATTATATGAATATGAAAGAGAAAAACAGAAAGTTATTTTTGTTTTAAAAACTGAATTTGTTCAGATGGATACTCTAAACTAACTGTCGACGTTAGCCAGTAGTAGGAGTCTTAGTCTGCCTGGGACTTGTCGAACAGGCATATAGTTAACTGTAGTCATGTTTGCATTAAGTTCTAGATACGAAACCATAACTTCGAGTATCACTAGACCACTCACACCTAGACTACTAGACTACTCTTATTCAACAGGTATTACTTTTAAAAAAAATTTAAACTTGCCCTGGTATGCGAAGGGGAATTTAAAAATTCCACTCTACATATCACCATTTGGTTTTAATGATGATTTGCACGTATCCTCATCATTGACATTTGGTAAACATAGGGTTACTTCGTTATCACGGCACCTATGCAAGAAACTCATACACTTACTAGAATTAACAAATTAAATGCTTCAAACAGAAGTCGAATCATTCCAGATGTACCTTAATATTATGATTCATTTTATATGGCTTCAAATGATTTATATTAAGTGTATTTATTCAATACAACTAATATAAGTCTTTCTGACTGTCACCGACAAAGCTAAGTCGCTACTCTCTAGTGCTCTTCTAATTGCCTATTAGTCCAATCCAAAGCAATGAATAGAGAATAAAGTGCTCAATCCAAAATTTTTATTTCCTTTATTCAGCTTAGCTAATCGATTTTTTCGTATTTTTAATTTGAAGAAGAGTTTTGACCTTACTGAGTTAGTCATCAAAACAATTCATTTGGATTTTTAACTAAACAGAAAAGTAGGGAAGGTGAGTAGGTTAGTATTGATCGGAGTTTATTAAAAATGAAAATAATGCTTAGAAGTTAAGGTTAGTCTGATGAAAAATTAAAGAAAACAGGTTTAGTCTACTTATCGACTTTATTTCTTCATGCTGTCAATATAATTCTAACAATATAACAGCTGTGTATCTCTGTTTACGTGAATTGGCATTAAACAATTGTATTGAAACAGGATATTTATAGAAGTGACTTTAGTGTAAAGATTTATTCATAGACTTATTGAAATATGTCCTTCAGTACGTGCTATTAAACTCACCCACTATAGATTAAGGCAAAATTTAAATGTCTACGTGACAAAAGACAATTTCCTTTAACATCATGTGTTGATTTTCAACAATAAAAAGTTGCTTGAATTATTGTCACTTAATCTTGTAAGGTGATTATACAGGGTTATAGAACTTCTGTCTCAAATTACAAATAGGTGTTTCAGCGCTATATTTATGCAGATTTCACAACTGCTCACACATATACATACGTACAGTTTTTTATTTTGATGTTACACACCAGCTAATAACCATAGTTTTTCTGGTTTCGCCAAAACTTCATTCACCTTTCATGCGATGAATGTTAAGAATGCTTTTATCAGCTACTCGAGATTCGGTAAAGTGAAATCAGTTAAACCTGCTTAAAGCTGTCTGAAGTAATGAGCTTCATCGCTATAAGACAAGTGTTAGGCTAAATAAATGCATATTGCGTCTTGATACTTTGACCAAAACTGTTTTAATTACACATCATACTAATTATTGTCTTTCAGAAATGACGCGAGAAATATTAATTGCTTTTCCAAATACTAAAAATAAGTTCTTTAAATTTATATATTATATGCAGATGGATATTATTTGTTAATACTTGAGATGATGGTGAGGCAGTAACTCATCGAAGAAGACATTGCGAAGTGGTCGCGCTATGTCGTGAACTGGCAGAAGTTAGAATTCAAGGACCATTGGATCGGGTCCCAGTGGCTCAATGGTCTACGAGCTCACCTTGTAAGTAGAAGGTCTTGGGTTTGAACCCCGGGGGTATGTACCGCTGAAGAGTCCCAAATTAGGACGAAACAGCTGTCTACCAGCACTCCCAGGTTTTCCAGTGGTTCTCTAACTGATGTCAGCTCATGATGAAATCCTCCATGTAATACTTGGGAGTTTTACCTGATAACGCTGAACCAAGTCTATTTACCTATTTTGGGTATCTGGACTTTATGAACTGGTCTACTAGACGTACAACATCAAGGCGTTTGTTCAAGGAGCCTATACACCTAAATATTTTGGATCAGTTAAGCAAAACCAAAGAGAAACTATAAACAAACAAAAATGAATCCGTTTTAGTTGCTGCAGTTCAGTAAAATTAAGTATTATTTTATTCCAACTTGAATATCCTTTATGTGCGATTACAACAAGCTTAGACTTTCCTTCACACAGTTATACAGCGGTTGGATGACTAGGCATTATTTACGGGTAACTGGCTTCCCGAATGTCTGGGAAAAGTTAGTGAACTCGGCTGACTGAAATCAAGGCTCTTGTAAACTTGTGTTTATCAACTAATTGGCTTAATTTATTGGAGTAAGACTGTTTATATTATATTATCAAATATACATGGATGATAGACACTATATTAACTACCATACTAATCAAGTTTATTGTCACTGTTATCATACCATAACATTATTTATTCCGAAAAATAATTCAGCTAGTGTAGAAATGTTTGTATTGCACTGAAATTGTCTGGAAAGTAGAATCTATGTACCATCTTGAAAACAAACATGTGCCAAGTTTAAGCGATATGTTTAAAATAACATTTTTCCAAATGAATAGCTAATTGGTATTCTTTTTGGTGTTTAACATAATGCGTAACGAATTCATTGACTGAATGTAATACTGATACTAATACTGGTATTATTTTCAACTGATAACTGTGTATTGTATTGTATGACACTTCACGAAGCCCTTATGAATATTTTAACCATATATGTTAGGAATATTGTGGGATAATTTGAAAGCTGTTTGACTGAACTAGTACAAAACTAGAGTGTTTGAGGAATTATTACAAAATATTTATGGACGATTCACTACATAAACCACCTCTTCTTCAGTGAGACTACTGGGCTTTTTCCTCAGTCGTGACCAAAATGTCAACACAAATTATTATTATTATATCCTTTAGTTCCTAGAGGAACATCGGGCTTCAGCGGCGCGTCTCCATTGCCTTCTGTTTTCTACCAAAGTTTTCACCCCGCTTCAAATCTGTCCACATGCTTTCATCTCCCCTTCACATGACCTCCTCCAAGTCACCCTTGCACTGACAACCAACTCGCCGCTTCCCTTTCGAGTTCCACTCGAGCTATGGCTTGTCTAGTGATGTCACTTGATGGTTTCCTCAGCGTATGGCCAGTTAATCCATCTCCATTTCTTCCTGCCTATTTGTTTCACAATCGGTTCCTGCTCAGCTGGTTCACTCATTGCCAGATATCCCTGTTGCTGACCTTTTCTGGCCAGCCATCTGATCTTCATTAGTATTGAGTGAAGACAACTGTTAATGAAGGTCTGAAGTTTGTTTGAGATTCTCTTCATGACGCGCTGGCCAAGTCTCTGATCCGTATAGTAAGTAGCACTGACTTCACACTGGAGTTGAAAATCCGGATCTTAATTTTGATTCTGAGTGTTGTTGACCTCCACACAGACTTGAGAGTAATGAAAGCTTGTCTTGGTTTTCCGATTCTGGCTTTGAAATCCTCGTCAGTTCCGTCCGCCTGTAGTTGAAACGATGCTTCCATGTCGGTAGGTGAAGGAGGTTGTTTCTTTCAGGTTCCTCCCATTTATTCTGGCTGATTGTTGTCTGTTGTTGTTGTTGCTGTTGGCCTGATATCTCACCTCTTCTTC